TCTGACTTACATCGGATCCCTACTTACAAACGGGGTGAGGCAACCCCGCACTAGCTGCTTCCCCCCAGCAGACCAGGGAGACGCAGAGCAGCTTTTCACAGCAGACACCTCAGCTTGAGAATAAAGGACTGAGGGAAGTGAGGTGTGGGAGAATAAAACTGAGCTCTGGAGAAATGTTTGGCTAGAGTTTCCCCTACAATATGTATCAGTTCCGACTTACATACAAATTCAACTTAAGAACAAACCTACAGTCCCTATCTTGTACGTAACCCGGGGACTGCCTGTACTGAGTCTATTCTATTAGCTTCAATTTGCTTTAATTCACAATATTTCTCCCCATTTTTTTTCTTTCCCTCTCATTCTCTATTTGTACCCTGGACCTCGTAACTCAATTCATCTGAAGAAGTGGGTTGTGCCTGTAGAAGCTCATGATACCAGCTACATATTTTGTTAGTCTCTAAGGTGCTGCAAGACTCTTTGTGTTTTAAATTTTTCCTTTTCTAGTAACATCCAACATTGTAAACAGCTTGGGAATTTACTTGATAAATAACCTTTATACTAAAAACCATAGAGGAAGTCTTGAATGATGCATTGCGAAGTTAATTTATTTAAGTTGATCTGAATCTTTCATCCCTGTCATTTTCTCTCAGTAGGCAGTATTTCTTATGATTTTTCATTCTTGCAACTAGGCCCTACAGATCCTCTTGCACTTACACTTGACATAGTTTTCTTTTGTACCCAGGGAATGAAGTTTTGTTCAAAATATTCCCAGATAGTGTCTCGGGGAGGGGGAGGGAGAGGGAGAGGGAGAGAGAGAGATGTTTGTGTTTGTTTTACTAGTCCATTCCACATTTTGTTCCTGTGCTGCCTCTATCCTCTTCTGTATGGCTGTATCTAGACTACAGGGTTTTTTCCGAAAAAAGTAGCCTTTTTTTGAGAACTTCACTTGCATTCTTCACTGCAGCTGCATTCTTTCAAAAGTAAATCGAAAGAATGCTGCAGTCTTTTTGATCATGGTAAAGCTCATTTTACGAGGAATAACACCTTTTATTCTAAAGCACTCTTTAGGAAAAAAGGCGCTAGTGAATGCAAACTCTTTTTTCGAGAGTGTCTAGACTCTCTTTCGAAAAAGCTGCTCGCTTTTTCTGAAAAGCTGCTTGTAGTCTAGACACTCGTTCGAAAAAGCCTCTTTCGAAAGAGGCTTGTATTCTAGACATAGCCTATGTTGTGTCTCTATCTTAAGACAATGTCTTAACTAACTCTTCTGCCATGCTTGGCCAAGGTCCACCACCACATAAACCCCAAACAAAATCAATCCTTTCCAGCCTCTGTCTGTCTTAGCACATGTGCCTTTAGTCTGAGAAACACATTGAAAACCCACAACTTTGAAGAAGGAAGAACTAGTAGGGTGGACAGACTAGGGCCATTAATTCATTCCTATTAGTCTATAGGTATGTGTATAGCATGGTTTTTTATTATTATTATTTGATTGTAACTTTATTTTTAAATGGCTTAGTATTGATTTAAAAAAAATCATGAATACAATATAAATAAACTGATTTTAATAGATTTTTATCCACCCAGCTGCTAGCTCAGAATCCCTGCTACCTGCCAACTGTACCACATACCAGTATAAGGGATTATGAACAGATACTGTTATTTTGGCACTTGACTTCCTCCATTTGACCTCTTTTATTGGGTGTGAATAGTTGCTGTAGGCTTAGTTTAGACGAGACTGAAGGTCTCCATTAATTATGTATTAATGGTAACTGAGGACTTGGCAAATTTATTCACTTGTGTTATTCAGGGTGTAGAAAAAGAAATGTTTGCTTGGGAGACAAACTTGTGTTCAATGGGAGTTTCAATGTATATTAAAGAGTACATATTTTAAAAGGAAAACTTGCATTGCAAGTTTATGGATAGAGTTTGTGATGTTGGTAATGGAGTCTACATTGATTATTTTAAAGTCATTTTCTTCGTGAAACATACGAAAATTTTAGTCTCGTTGGTGTATAGTATAGAAATGTCAAAGCTATTTGCTTACAAAATGTGGACTAAAGCGACGAGGAGTCCTGTGGCACCTTATAGACTAACTGAAGTGTAGGAGCATAAGCTTTCGTGGGCAAAGACCCACTTCGTCAGATGCATGTCACATGCATCTGACAAAGTGGGTCTTTGCCCACGAAAGCTTATGCTCCTACACTTCAGTTAGTCTATAAGGTGCCACAGGACTCCTCGTCGCTTTTGCAGATTCAGACTAACACGGCTACCCCTCTGATACTTGACAAAATGTGGACTGAAATTCTTAGCATATATTTAGAACTGAGAACATTTAAAACTGACTTATTTGAGACCTGTGCTTCATGAAATCTTTAATGAATTTGCAGAACTTAGTGGATCTGGCAGGAAGTGAAAGAGCTAGACAAACAGGATCAGAAGGTAGGTAACTACTACTAAATCTGTAATAGTTTCCTAGGGTGTGTCTCTGTCTGCCTAGCACTTAAATGCTGACTGAAATTATAACAGCTGGAAAGTAATATAACCTAGACGAAATTATCTGTCTACAGTGTGCTGGATTCTAAATGTAAATAGAACCATTGAGGAAAAAGAAGCCAGGATGTTGGCGATAGTTCAGAACAAGGGGCTATTCAAAAAAATTAAAAGGCAAACAAACTTAAAATGTAAATACAGGTTGAGACTCCCTGGTCTGGCACCGTTGAGATCTAACCGGTCCTGAATGGAGGAATTTGCTGGATCAGGGCAGGTTTCCTGCCACCAGTCTCTTAGTTCACTGATCCTCCCCGGTGCTGGCAATGCTTCCTGCTCAGCTGCGTGTCCCCGCCCCCCTTCCCCGTCCCATGGCCTGTCTAGGTGGTCAGCCCTAGCGAGGGCCTCTGGGCTGCTGGCCCCAGCCAGGACTGTTGTGGGCTTCCAACCCTAGCCGTAGCTGCTGTATGCTGGCCATGCTAGCACTGGGTTCCCAGCCCCAGGGCTCTCTGGGACCACAGTTTAGGGAGGTCCAACCTATGCTACTTGTTTTTCACATAAATCCCTTGTTATGTGTTATCACCACAACCTATTATTGAGGCCAAAAGCTCACAAATTATGCCATAATCAGAGTATTAACAGTTATCTTAGATGGGATTAAAATTTTTGCGTAGATACAAACCCTAAAGGCATCTGCCAGCCACCAATTCATTATTTAATGAGAAGCTCATTCTTCAGTTATCACTCAGGAGGTGGAGTTGAGTGAGCTTCATTAGTTGGTTATATGTTGGATTTTTTGTTAGTGTTTTAAAAACTCCTTCTACATCATTTTCTATTGGCTGCTCTCAGACTACAGAACTAAATGGAAAAATAGTCAGATCTGTTATGGCAACTCCTGTGTACCTAAGATAGATTAACTGGAAGTTTTTCTTCACACTGCGCAGTCAACCTATGGAACTCCTTGCCAGAGGGTGTTGTGAAGACCAGGACTTAAATAGGGTTCAAAAAGAGAACTAGATCCATTGCTGGACCTAACCTCCATGAATGTCTATTAGCCAGTATGGGTAGGAATGGTGTCCCTAGCCTGTTGTCAGGGTCTGGAAATGGATGACAAGAGAGGGATCACTTGATTCCATATTCCGTTCACTCCCTATGGGGCATGTGGTATTGGCCACTGTTGGAAGACAGGATACTGGGCTAGATGGGCCTGTCGTCTGACCCAGTATGGCTATTATGTTCTTACGTTACGGTCTCTGAAATAGTTACTTTGATCATTATGTAGGATAAAAGTGAACTTTCATAAGTAAATGCAGTGTTTCTATGTAATCTCTAGGTCTCCGGCTTAAAGAAGGATGTAACATAAACAGGAGTCTATTCATCTTGGGTCAAGTAATTAAGAAACTCTGTGATGACCCATCTGGGTAAGTGTTTGTAGCATCTATTCTGGAAATTAGTAGTTGTAACTCATTACACAGTTGACTAGCTAGCAAGCCTTGAAATCCATTTGCATTCGTAATCAGGGCTCGACAAATTAGAGAACCTTACTTGCCAGACAAAACAGAGACTCGCCACCCCCACCGTGCAGGTGCGCGGCACCCGGCGAACGGGACGACCAGGATGGCATGTTTGCTTCTGTGACGGGGTGGGGCCACTCCACAGTGGCGAGGACAACCTGCCCCGTACTTCAACAGCACTGACCCCCGTGTTGCACGGGCAGTGCGGAGTTCTGACAGCAGTCTGCGCCACTTGCTCCCGTGCAGCCGCCCAGCTGAGCGGCGTACAGGGGGGCTGAGTCCTGGGATGGGAGCCGGAAGCGGGGGTGGGGCGGCACATGGGCTTAGGGAGGGGCCAGAGTGTGCGTGCATCCCTGACGTCAGGGGGAGAGGCGCTGGCACGAGAGCACCACATTCTAAAGGGGAGCAGAGGAGAGCAGAAGAGAGGCGATGGAGGAGAGTAATGGAGGGAGAGGGGAGAACAGAGGAGTGAGCTAGAAGACTGCGGTGGGCGGAGGAGTGAAGGGTGAGAGGGGAGGGGGATGGGAGTCGGAGGAGATCAGAGAAGGCAGGAGGGAGACGGGGAGTGGAGCAGAGCGTGGGGGCAAAGAGGGGAGAACAGATGAGTGAGCTAGAAGACGACAGTGGGTGGAGGACTGAAGGGTGAGAACGGAGGAGGTCAGAAGGCAGGAGGGAGACGGGGAGTGGAGCAGACAGCAGAGCACAAGAGCAGAGGACGTGAAAGGAGAAGCGGAGGTAGGAAGCAGCCCAGGACAGGGCTCCTTAGTGTCTCCGCTCTGGGCTACTTCCTATTTCCGCTTCCCCTTTCACGGCCTCTGCCCCCACGCTCTGCTCTCTGCTCCACTCCCCGTCTCCCTCCTGCCTTCTGTGATCTCCTCCGACTCCCGTCCCCCTCCCCTCTCCTCCACTCTCACCCTTCACTCTTCTGCCCACTGCAGTCTTCTAGCTCACTCCTCTGTTCTCCCCTCTCCCTCTGTTACTCTCCTCCATCACCTCCCTCCTCTCCTCTGCTCCCCTTTAGAATGTGGTGCTCTCTTGCCCCAGTGCCTCCCCCCCAATGTCAGGGACGCATGCACACTCTGGCCCTGCCCTTCACCCACATGCAGCCCTGCCCCCGCTTCCGTCTCCCAACCCAGGACTCGGCCTCCCTGTACGCTGCTCAGCTGGGCAGCCGCATGGGAGCAAGCGATGCAGACCGCTGTCAGAACACCGCGCTGCCCGTGCAGCACAGGGGTCGGCGTTGTTGAAGTGTAGGGCAGGTCACCCTCGCCACCGCGGGACACCTCCGCCCCATCACAGCTTGCCAGCTGTCAAAATCTACTTACCATGGGTGAGCGAATTTGTCAAGCTCTGTTCATAATATAGATTTGTCCTTATTTCTTTTCATCAGGCAGACATGAAGAGATCTGCTATCTTAAACCAGGTGTTGCTAGGTCAATCTGTTACCTTTTGTAATTTAATTTATTCGCCAGTAGAACACTAATTTGTGCTTCATGGTTGGTTTGGTGTTTTTCTCTTCCCCCTCCACAACAGTTTCATAAATTATAGAGACAGCAAGTTGACAAGAATTCTCCAGAACTCCTTGGGAGGAAACGCTAAGACAGTTATCATTTGCACAATTACTCCAGTTTCATTTGATGAAACTCTCAGCACACTTCAGGTAAAATTATTCCATTCTCTTCTTTTTTTTTTTTTTTTTTCCCCCTCCTAAATATTAATATGATGTGGCTAAGTAGGTCCAAGTGTGGAAGCTGAGAAACTGGTAACCAAACTGACTACTTGATCTTTCCTGTGGACTTAAGAGCTGTTGGAAGTGCACTGCTTTAAATTTTGAGCCTTTACCCCAGGCATCTTCTGGCGCTTGTTGTATGAACGCTGCTGCTTCTGCCAGATTTTTCATTTATTTTTGTTTCCATCATCTGTATAAACTATAGTCTCTAGTTTCTCACACATTCTCCTTTTCAAGGACTTCATTGTTATGGGCATAGTTATCATTTTGTTCGTGTGTAATCATACGTGAACCCTGCTAAGAACCATTAAGGTTGCAAAGTCAAACACTCAGTTAGGTAATGACAAATTTAAGGTTGCTTGTATAGTAATGTTTTTTTTCTCCTTTGTGTGGACCTGTCACATGGCTACTGATCCCATTCCTGAAAAGATCACATGACCTTAAGCCAAAAATCGACTTTTTGGGTGATTAAATTTTTGTTCCCCTCCCCTGCCTTTACAGTTTGACTTTTTTCCACAATTAACTCTCACTTGACAGCTAGAACAGCAGCACAATAGAAAAAAAAATAAATCTGTAGTTCTGTAGTGAGATAGGAAAGCTTAGAACTAAACCAAATATGAACTTCTTGCTCATTAAATTCATCTTAGATTAACTTTTGTACATGTGTAGCAACTGCTTCAGGAGGCTTAACATGTGAAGTTCGAATTTAAGATCAGGCACTCTGCACTAAGTGCATAATGTTATGGTATGGGTTTTTTGTTTTTCCCCTTCCCCAAAATAAAGCGCATTCGGTCTGAACCTACAGCCATTACTTGAATTTGTTGTCCCGGGGAAGTTAATAGGACTATTCAGATGAGTAAAAATTGTAGGATTCAGTTTGCTCCCTCCATGTTCTGCAAAATCAAATTTGGCTGTATAATGTCTTCCTTGAAACATTGCTTGGTATTAGCCCAAAAATGAAACAAGGGAAGTTTTCAGCCTCCCTTTTTTTCCCCAAAAATTCCTCAAGTTATGAGCAGGGCGCTACCAAATTCACAGCCACAAAAGTTGTCATGGACCATGAAATCTGGTCTTGTATGCTCATACCCTACACTATAAAGATTTAACAGGGGAGATCACCTGTGATGGATAGAAGGAGTGCTGGCTAGCACTTGGTAACTAACGGTTTAAACTCAGGTAGCTAAGGGCAGAGCCAGAAGAACCAATGGAATACAGAGCTAAAATTTTACGTTGTAAATATATTGCCTGCTTTTTTTGGGTAGACTGAAGGGGGGTTTCAGGATACCAGAGGTATCCCAAAAAGCTCCACCACGTTCAGAGACTGCGTTTGCTCTTCTGAAAGGGAAAAAAAACAAACATAAGAGCAAGTGCACTCTTTCAGAATTCCTCGTTCTACAAGGAAGGGGGTGGGGTCTGACATTTGGCCTAGACTAGACAGGCCAAATGTCGGAAAGCCTCTTCCGACAAAAGAATTGGAAAAAGACATGCATGTTGTGTACCTTTTTCTGACAAAAGCTTGTAGTCTAGCTGTAACCCTCATAGGAGTTCTAAATTAGTAGCTGGAGGAAGCAAGATGAAGTAATCAAATGGAATTACTGTGCCTACAAGAAATATCAGGCATGGGAATGTATTGGATCTTGAAGTACTGCTCGTGAGTAGATAGAGAAATGTATGTTTTTAGTTGTGATTAGGGTATTTTTCTTTATTTTCTTGTTTGGTTAAACTTCTCTGTGTGAAATCCATTTGCCTCCCTCCTCCTCTCCCATTCACTATACTTAAGCTGTGCCAGAGATACCATTTTTCTCTGTTTTAATCTGCTCTTTTCTCAGTTGCTTTAACACCTAGAATGCTTTATCAAATACAGGTTGTACCTCCCTTAACTGGTCCAGTAGCATTTAGAGAGTGGACCAGCATTTAGAGAGCCCCAAGAGGGCAGCATTTAGAGAGCCCCAAGAGACTGAGACAGCAGCAGGGGCAGGCTAGAGCCCTAACCCATTGGCAGCACAGTCCAGGAGGGGAGGGACCTTCCTTGCACCAGCAAATCTCCTCGTTCGGGACCAGTCAGGTCCCAAGGGTGCCAGACCAGCAAGGTCCAACCTGTATATCTTTTGGCTCTGTTAATAAAATAATCTATTTTAAGGTGATTATTTGATTCTCTTGCCCTGGGTGGGTGGGTGTGTGTGTGTCTAGACTACAGTTTATTTTCTGTTTTCTTCTGCAAGCTCTATTGTGGTAAAAGAGCTTGAGGTACTTTTCTGGAAGTTCAAATGATTCTTCCTGGGTTTTAAGTCATTAGGCTGCCACCATTAAGTGTCCAATTTCCAGTGTCAATGAATCTTTGACTCTGGGGAGGTCTTGTAAGCAGAACCTAAAGAGATAAGGAATTTTTAGGGTCTCTTGTGGGTCCCCACCTTCTGCGCGCTGAGTGGGGAACAGCCCTCACGCCACCCTTTCTCCAATTGGAGGTGCTGACCAAAAAGGCGTGGGCGGGGTGGAGGGGGGGAGAAGAATAATTTCTGTGCAGTCTTCAGACTTGGGTTGCAGAAAAATAGCAGCTGTTGATCGGGCAACCAGCTCTGAAGGCAGCACATTGCCAGCAGCATCACAACATTAAAATGGCAATCCCCTGCCATGCCAATCTTCTGCGTTGCCTTCAGAACTGGGCAACCTGAGTGGTAGGTGCTGACTGCAGTGTAGACGTAGTCTCACAGTTATTTCAGAATAAGCTATTCCAGAATAGTTATTCCGAAACAGCTTATTTCAAAATGGCACATCTACACTCCGAGGAAGCCTCAAAATTAATCTGAGGCAGGTTTCCCAAATGTAGATGTGCTATCTTGATTTAGACTCCCAGGAGGAAGAACTTAGAATGGCCCTGGTGAGGGGCTATTTTGAAATAGCAGAAGTTGATCATCTACACATGCCTTATTTTGAAATAGCTACTTCAAAATAAGCAGGGCTCAACAATCTATGTAATCTACTCGCCCGTGGTGAGTAGATTACAACCCGGAAGAGTTAGGTTTGGGTGATCTGCATGCGCAGATCTCCAGCTGTGCTGTCCGGTGAGCCCTAGAAATAGGCATTGTTCTTTGTAGAATGAAGTTTACAGAAATTGGAATAAGCCATTCATTTTGAAATTTCAAAATAACGGAACTGCTAGGTAGACGTTCACATAATTATTTTGGAATAACAGACATTATTCTAAAATAACTTTGCTGTATAGACACACCCTGACGGTCCAGCTCTGTGGGCAACAGTTCAGTAGTAATGGGGCATGGTATAGTGTGTTAAAAATTGTAAATTGCAAATCGTAGGACTGTGAAATTTACCAAAATGAGCCATGACTTTGGTAGGTCCCTAGTTAGGAATAAGCGAAAATAACAGCAGCCTTAAATACATGGATATATAGTGTTTCCTACTACTCCAAATAGTAAATATTATTTTTACCTTCTAGTCAATCCTGTTAATAGGACTCTTCACTGTGATAGCAGAAGTAAATAAATCTCTGTACTTTTCTATTGGAAAGCTTCACTGTCTTGTATGGTATGTCATTTTTCCAGTTTGCCAATACAGCAAAAAGAATGAGGAACACTCCAAAAGTCAACGAAGTCCTGGATGATGAAGCCCTCCTGAAACGATATCGCAAGGAAATAGTGGACTTGAAAAAACAGCTGGAAGAAGTATGACAGAATATGTTGAACTAACCATAGCATTTAAAGTAACCAAAATAATGCAACATAAAAGCAACTAACCTTATTAAAAACTATTTACTTTTAAAACACTTAGGATCATACTCACATCTCATACAAAAAACTGAAGTGAGATTAATATGGTGTAACGCACAGCTCATGGTAACTAATGTATATGTCCTCATTTCCATAGATCCATATGTGAACTGTACTGAATCTTGTGAAGTTTAACTTAACTAGATCTATGGGTTTATGGATGTAGTGGGATCTGCATGACTAGCTTCTGTCTTTTGGTGTCAATTCAGAACAAGACGTTTCTAGAAGCAATCAAAGGAATTTCTTTGCATTTGAAAGATCACTAACCTATCTCTAGTATTTCTTAATCTACTATTATAATGCAGTAGTGATAGGAATTTAAGAGGAGACTGAAAATTTTCAGACCTTGTTTCCGCTCCACACGTCCACCTGGTTCAGTCTTCTTATGCATCATATACAGTGAAAACACAGGAAAAATTCTAAATAGTATCACTTCTCATACATCCACTAATTAAATCCTGTAGTTTGTCAGACTGACGAATTTCCTGTAATGAGACCATAATATATGTTCCCTTGACAAAAGGAGACTACAGCAGACTTTCAACTGGCTTATTCTTAGTGTTTCTGTTTACAGCCAATCAATTAATTACAGTCATCTCCATACAGAGCAGAATGAGAAATTCAGATGTATTTGTTGTACCTGAAACTGTTCCTAATGATTCTTTTTTTTTTTTTTTTTTTTTTCATTTTCAAGTGGATAGTGTTACTATTAAGGCTCAGATCTTATCAGAGGAGGCTTTGTTCCAGTCTTGTACTGTAGAAAGCCATATAGAATGGAAGTTTGCCTCAGTTCCTGAATACTCCCTTAAGAGGTTGAAAGAGCATAACATTTAGCTCCATGCTGTAACTTCCTTTTTAAAATAATCATTTTTGCATAGCTCTTTTGTAAACTTAAAGAATCATTAGTTACTTTAAGATCCAAAATGTAAATTAAAACATAAATTACTATTCTATATATAGTTTTTAATGCCACAAAGCCTATAAAATGTATGCAGGTTTTTAAAGGAGGAAAAAAGAATCTTGCTACCTACATCTAAGCCCTTTTCTTAAGAGACCCAAACTTTTTTAATCCCTGTCCATAGGCCTGCAACACTATCCAAAAGTCTTGCCCACCCTCTGCTAAGATGGTCTTTTTCTTTTTATTGTAAAGTTTAAGGAAACATTTATATTTTTCTGCAAAACTGTGGTATCTAAAGCAGTCATGGCAGTACCAGAACATTAGTTCTCCGAAGAACTCTCCTGAAATGGCTCTCAAAACAGTCTATGGATATCTGATGTTGGAATCAGGACTATCTTTCAGAAACATCTAGCTTAAACTCTGACAGTCTGTGTCATAAACTGCTAGCATTTGAGGGAATTTGTGTTTGTTTGCTATGAAACACTGGGTTTCCACGTTCAACATTGGGTTTCATAAATACAGGTCGAACTTCTCTAGTGTGGCAACCTCAGGGCCTGACCAGTGCCTATCCAGAGAATTTGCTGAACCATAGGAAGTCCAATATTTTCTAGCATGGAGTGGGCAAAACGGCTTCCGTGGGCTGGATCTGGCCCACGAAGTGGGTTAATCTGGCACATGCAGGCCCTGCCACTACCCTGCCCACTCCTCTGCCCCAAGCCAATCAGGACCTAGGAACCAGGGAGCGTGTGGCGGTTAGAGTCAACGCTGGCAGTTGACTCCTAAGCACCACGTGCCCGAGGAAGGGAGTAAGAGACTTTATGTCCATCCCCTGCCCACAGTCTCTGATTGGCCTGGAGTAAGGGGGGGGCACAAAGTCTCCTCCTACCGCCAGGGACATGGGCACCTAGAGAGAACTGCCAGTTGTTCAGAACAGCTGGTGGTTCTCTCTGCGGGTGGTGGGGGCAAAGACTTCATGCTCTCCCCCAGACCAATCAGGGGAAGCACAGAAGTGTCCTGGTCCTGCCCCTTCTGCCTGAGGCCCCACCACTTCCGGGGTGGCCCCCAGTCAAAAATTATTGCCCATCCCTGGTCTAGCAGGATTGCCAACACTTCCACTGCTTATTGGGCTTTTAGAAGACACTTAGGGGTAAATTAGGGTATGTCTACACTACCCCGCTAGTTCGAACTAGCGGGGTAGTGTAGACATACCCCCTGAGATAAATAACAGCGCAGAACACTGAGAACCAGGACTGATAGCTGTAAACAAACTTTATGGGACCATGGGAAATTTGGCTACATCCATAAGTGGACATCCGACTGACTAAAATCATGCCAGACCACAAAGGGTACCAGACTAGAGAGGTTCAACCTGTAGTAAATTTTTAAAAATACAGGCTAGATTATTCCATCAAGAAAACTGAAAAAACATATGGAAAGCTGTTCAAGTTAACTCTTAAAAAAAAATTGCTAATGTATGTATCTCTCTAAAAGTAGTTCTTACTTGAAACAAAACTGACACTGCTTTGATTTTGTTTATGATAGGTTTCTTCAAAAACTCATCTCCATGCAATGGAGAAAGACCAACTAGCTCAGCTGTTAGAAGAAAAAAACTCTCTCCAGAAAATACAAGAAAATAGGATACACAATCTAACTGAAATGCTCGTCACTTCCTCCTCGTTTACATTGCAGAAAGAACTTAAAGTAAGACTAAGTAAATATTCAAGGTCACACAGGTATCTGGAAAACCTTGAGTTATAATGGGAGAACGTGTGTTTTGTGTGTGGTGTTTTGTTCTCTCCCCCCCCCCCCCCCCTAGTAAGTGGCCATTTATGAAATGGCTAATATTTAGACTTTTGGTTGACATTTCAGTACAATGACAGGCTATTTAGCTGACCTTGTGGTAAACTAGCTATAATATGCACAAGATGACCTTGTGAGTAAAGCATAGGACTAGGATGAGTTACACAATCTCTTCCTTTTGTTTCCTTGTCAATAAGCTGAGGATAGTTTTTAAAGTAACAGGTTTGTTGTGAAGTTTTTTTTTATCTGGTGGAAAATTTAAATCAGCTGTAATTTTCTGGAAAACAGTGTTCAGCTGAACTCAGTTTTTTGGAAAAACTACAGTACAAAGTCACCCCCTATAGTTATCTGCTTGTACTGTTATAGGAACAACAAAATGTAAAATTTAAAAAAGATTACCGTTATTATTACTATTATTATTATTATTAATGCTTTATTTGACTCTTGTTGTTCCCCTTTTTAAGGCCAGAAGAAAAAGAAGAGTTACTTGGGCCCCTGGGAAAATAAGTCAAGAGGACATGGGCTATTTTGCCAACTTTAAAAAACTAAAGGAAAATGGTGCTAACAACATGATAACATTGCCAGAGAAGTTTTCAGAAAGGGAGGATTGTGAGTACATGTTTGAGGAGAAGACACTAACTAGGAAACCTGATTTAGAAAGTGTTTGCTGGTTATCTAAATGAAGTCTTTGAGATGGGGCGAGATCTCTCCAACATAAACATAGCTTGGAGTAAAAGAATTTACGGTTGTCATAAAGTATAGTTGCTGTACTGTACTAAAATAGAGATACTGCACATGAATAATAGCAAACTAGAAGACTTGCTTCTAGATTTCCTAATAAGGGTAAAAACAGCACCCCAATGGGGCAAATAAAGTACAGGCAGTCCCCGGGTTACATACAAGATAGAGACTATAGGTTTGTTCTTAAGTTGAATCTGTACGTAAGTCGGACCTGGCGTTAGCTGCTGCTGAAACTGATCAGTTTCAACCGCGGCTGAATCTGGATGCCAGTTCTGACTTGCATACAGATTCAACTTAAGAAACCCAGGCGTCCCCAAGTGAGCTGCTGCTGAAACTGATCAGCAGCTGATTCCAGGAAGCCTGGGGCAGAGCAATTCTGCCTCGGGCTTCCTGTAGTCAGCCGCTGGTCAGTTTCAGCAGGCTGACTTGGGGACGCCTGGGGCAGAGCAGCTGGGGGGCTGCTGGGTTGCTCCGCGTAACTCAGGGACTGCCTGTATTTATCATGTCTGTATTTATCATTTATCATGTCTTTTGGACTTTGTATTGAAGCTCTTTTGTGTAAGTGAATGTTTATAAAATTTTTCCTGTGCTTTGTTGTAGGGCCTTCTGGTTTGGAAGAGAAAACACTGTAGTGGTATATCAAACTATAGGCTGATGAGGCTAACTTCAAAATCAGAGAAGGTTTTAGAATCTATAGTAAGTGAAAAAATGATCAACAACTTGGAAAAGAACTGGCTTGCGGGGGGGGGGGGGGGGGGACACTAGCTGCAGCCCCCCCTCCAGCTGACCAGGGGGACAGGAGAAAAGCGCGCCTGGGCTGTCCCGCTGCGGGCATGCTCCAAGGCTTTGCTCCCCGTCTCCCTGCAGATGACTTCTTCAGATGACTGGAGTGTTGGAAGCTTCTATTTGTTGTTTTTTAAGTTTTATCTATTTCAGATAAAGGATAAGGGGGGGGGGGACACTAGCTGCAGCCCCCCCTCCAGCTGACCAGGGGGACAGGAGAAAAGCGCGCCTGGGCTGTCCCGCTGCGGGCATGCTCCAAGGCTTTGCTCCCCGTCTCCCTGCAGATGACTTCTTCAGATGACTGGAGTGTTGGAAGCTTCTATTTGTTGTTTTTTAAGTTTTATCTATTTCAGATAAAGGATAAAAGCATAGACCCACAGTGTCTTCCCAGGAAAATGCAACTCCAGATGGCTAATTAAAATTAACTGTTTCAGATCCTGGAAAAAAAAAATTCTTTACAACATAGGGTCCCTATCCAAATTGCTGAGTAAGATTTGTAATAAAATAAACAGATCAGCAGAAATGGGTGAATTCATTGTTAAAACCATAAGCCTCAAAAGCAGGGGATAAGGGTTATATAAGAATATATGGACACAGTTGTTCACTGGAACTTAACTCCTTCCTGCTTCCCCACTTCCCTCAAAACTACTTCTAGGATGAGCACATTGCATTTAGAGGAAACCCAAAGGGGGAAAAGTAGTATATCATTTTAAAACAAGGTGGTAGTGGTGGGGGGGTTTTGGGGGGGAGGCGGATTTCCTTACTTGCGGTTCTTCTCGCTTTGTAATAAAGAATCCATCAACTTGGATCTTCCTCTCCTTAGATTAATATTTGTTTGCTGTCAGGTTGATACCTGTACTTTGTGGCATAGTTTCAGGCCATCGATAGAAGGATTGCATAAGAGCAAAAATGTAAATCTAGTTAGCCACATCTGTAGACATTGCTATCTAATAACTGATTATGACGAATGTAATCCTTTTTGTGAGGAAACAAATTTCACCATAATGAACAAGTTGCTGGGGATTTTGTTTGCTTGTTTTTTGTTTTTTTTAATGTACCTATCTTTCTTTTTTAGCTATGTATTCAGAATGTGAGTATCCATGTCTGCCTACCTCTGATGCAATCTCAGAAAGTGAATGGAATTCTGGAGCTAATATGAACTGGGTAACTTTCAAAATACATAATTTAATACAGATCTTACAGAGCTAAGGAAATTTGTTGTCTGAAACTTTTCAGTCTGCAATCAGGATGTTAGCAAATGGTTTTTTTGTAAACCTTGCAACTGCTGAATTTTTCAGTGGTTGTATGTTTACAAGCAGGTGGGAGCTGGTGCGTGGTTGCTCCCACCTGCCCTCCCTCATCCTTCCTCCACCCCTGTGATAGAGAGGAAGCAGTGGGAAGGGAGAGGAGGCAGCTCTGTGGAGTTGGTTAGTGCAGGGAGCTGGCTTCAAAGCCAGCTTCTTCTGTGTACTACCTGCCCCAACCCTCAGCCTTGCTGCCTCTCTATCAGAGGCAGAGAATCTGCAAAGTCTTTTTGACTCTAGAAAAAGAAATGCTTTCTGTTAGTTACTCAATCTTAGAAAACGGCTAAGTTAAAAAATAGTTGATTTAAACTCTGGCTACTCATACAATCAGCCCTCAAATTAAGATGCATTTTTTTAACCACACTCTTAAGACTAAGAAGATAACATTGGTTAGTATAATGATTAGAGATATAGGAAGCATAACTGATCTTGTACAAGAAGTCAGCCTGGCCAGATCAAATTGCAAACTAGGGATGTTGTTGGTTAACCCTAACTGACTGCACACTAAGGGTACGTCTAGACTACATGCCTCTGTCGCCAGAGGCATGTTGATTAGGCTACCAGACATAGTAAAATGAAGCGGTGATTTAAATAATCGCCGCTTCATTTAAATTTACATGGCTGCCGCGCTGAGCCGACAAACAGCTGATCAGCTGTTTGTCGGCTCAGCGCGGCAGCCATGTAAATTTAAATGAAGCGGCGATTATTTAAATCACCGCTTCATTTTACTATGTCTGGTAGCCTAATCAACATGCCTCTGGCGACAGAGGCATGTAGTCTAGACGTACCCTTAGTGTGCAGTCAGTTAGGGTTAACCAACAACATCCCTAGTTTGCAATTTGATCTGGCCAGGCTGACTTCTTGTACAAGATCAGTTATGCTTCCTATATCTCTAATCATTATACTAACCAATGTTATCTTCTTAGTCTTAAGAGTGTGGTTAAAAAAATGCATCTTAATTTGAGGGCTGATTGTATGAGTAGCCAGAGTTTAAATCAACTATTTTTTAACTTAGCCGTTTTCTAAGATTGAGTAACTAACAGAAAGCATTTCTTTTTCTAGAGTCAAAAAGACTTTGCAGATTCTGTCCAGCTCTGTGAAACCCTAGCACACGAAAAGGTAGGCCAGCTCAGTGTCTTAAATTAATTTTTATAAGATACAAGTAAACCTCCTCATAACATGACTCTTCCTTTTTTTCAGGATATTGCTATAAATGAGGTGAACGTCTTGCAAGCTAACTTTGACAGCCTAGTATTAGAAAATGAACAGCTGAAATTGGAGATAAGTGAACTGAAGGAGAAACTGAAGGAAAAGATAGAAATAGATGAATTTGAGGCATTGGAAAAACAAACTGAAAAAGACCATGAGGTAAGATATTGAAATTGACATTACTGGTATGACCTCGCTGAAAATGGAGGCAAAGTCTATTTTCAGAAATGTGTAATATAAGACCTTATTTCAAATGACAGGTTTTCAGAAAGTCATTGACTACCAAGGATCATGAACACAGAGTTCTAAAGTATATCTAGACTAGTTGAAGGGCTGTAGAATTTGGTCATGGAGAATAATTTGCTCCAGTCTTCTGACTTCAATATGTAGGCAAGCTCAGTGTTACAATTAACTGAAATGTAGCCAAATGAGCTGTTTGTAATTTGGGTAATGTCCACAGTCAAAATTGAATTGACTAATCTGCAATACATATTTTTTTGGTTTTTGTCAAGAATATTGTTGTCATTAACATTCCTAAACAGTGCTTTCTAAACATTATTTTAAATATTTAACTCAAACATTTTGAACAGAAGATCTTGCTTTATTACATTGCTAAAATGCATAACATGCGTAGGTTTGAGTTATAACTATTTAAGTCTTGTGTCACTGAGACTCACCAGTAATTGTGTGGGACATTAAAGTGCTCGCTTTTGCTGCATGATACTTTGTCAGCAAAAAACCCTAAGATGATTCCTTTATGTACTGGGAAATGATATGGTATAGAAGGAGTAAGCTTCCAATTCACAGCAAATGTAAAACAAGTTATGCTAAAGACCAAAACTAAATCCTGTTAGCTGAGTACAGTTGATGGCTAATATGAGCATCTTCTGACTGTTGTAAAACATTCTCCGAGGGTGAACAATTGGTGGTTCGGAGGACAGAGTGAAGACTGTGCTGCTTGTTGACAGTAAACTCTGATTATTGTAATACTGTTTTCTCTCTAAGATGCTGAAATAGCTTTTACTAAGTGAAAAAGTGTGAACCAGTGTTGTAATGATGGGTTTTTTGAAGAGAGCATCACCATATCTAAAACTTTTGCCTTCAGTCTTGGGAACCCAAACTCAATAGCAATTGATCTTAATCTTAGTGATTTAAATTCACTTTCAGTTTTTCCTGCATGAATTGCTTATTTGAATCTCACTGCATCCTATGTCTGGGCTATGGCAGGTTGAGGTATCTTACAATTCTAAAACTATTGCAAAGCTGAAGTAAAAGGCTGTGACTTCATGCAACTTTTCCTTTGTGCCTTAAAACAAATGTAATTACTTGTTTAACTATAGTAAACAGCCACATACTGTCTTGTCAAACCACAAGGAAAATTTAAGACAGATCTTGCTTATTTTCATGGTGATGGTAATAACCAATTAATGGATGGGTGCTTTCTAATATCCTCTGCAATTTTGCTTCAATTGCTCCACAGATACAACTATTGCATGAAATTACCAACTTACAGAATATAGTTAAAAATGCCGAAGCATACAATGAAGATCTGGAGGTGAGCCTGGCTGATGCTTTTTGCATGTAACAACTGAATGGCTACATAGGATGACATACATAGTTTAATATCTGTTTTTGTACAAAACTAACTCTTTTAGTAGATAAAGTAATTGGGCACTGATCAATTTTTAATCGGTATGTTTCATGTGCTGGGTTTTTTGTTTTGGGGTTTGTTTTCCCTAACCAAAAAAAAATTACCTGTAAAACCATATTAGGTACTTAAATTGTCCACCTGCTTATGCTGTTTTTCTTTCTTTTTTTCTCCCCCAGACTGAATTAAAATCAAAATTGGAAGAGCTTAAAGAAAAAGAAAATCAAGTAAAAGACTTGCAGAAATATGTGGAAGAACTACAGAAGGCAGAAACAGGGAAGAAAGATGAGTCTCTTTCAATGGTAAACTTCTCTTCTGGTTTGTTTGTTTGTTTTGGGGGGGGGGACTAATTTGGTTACAATAGGAAAATATGAAATCCTCCCAGAAAAAGCTTACAATTACTATATGAGAGATGTATTCTGCTGACTACATTTTACTCTTCAACACTTGTGAATTTTTACAGGGCAAATACAATTCACACTACCTATATCAGTACCTGTGTCTAAGGAAGATTTACTAGAAAAATTACTACTGTGGCACTTAAGTACAAGTTGTCTAGGACTCTTTAAAACCAGTATGATAGTTATTTGGCTGTGTAGGGTTCCTAACAAGATTATAGTTGCTTTACCTTAGTTTCTGGTTGTTTTGGGTTTAATATCTGTCTCATTCTTACAGGGAGACTCTGATAAATTACTTGATGAAATTCAACAAATGAGTAAGTCTCTCATTGATACGGAAACCGTAGCCCTGGATGCTAAGAAAGAATCTGCATTTCTCAGGAGTGAAAATCTAGAGCTAAAAGAGAAAATGGCAAGTAACTTACGCTGAAATAAGTGATAGGCTTCTTGCCTACCAGCTGGGAGAGACTTGCTACTTTGTTCTCAGTAGCTGAGGAACCTTACCCAAGCCAGAGAGCTGTGTGCATGGAGTCCTGAGCCCCTGGCTGGGCTGGGGCTCATTAAGCAGCTGTGGGGCCATGCTACTGTGCAACTTAGAGGAAACCTTGTTCAACAGGCATGACAAAAAGGGCTTTGCTTATTATTAAATGTGTACTTTAGTTTGTCACAGTAATTTTGTGATTAGGGTAATCTTACTCTTTTTCATACAGAATGAACTCTTAAATAGTTACAAGCAAATGGAAAAGGACACTCAATTGTATCAAAGTCAATTAGAAGCAGGAAAAGTGAGCTACAAACAAATGCAAGCTGACTTACAGAGAGAGCTACAATCTGCCTTTCAAGAAAACACAAAGCTAACCTTGCTCTTAGAGGGTAAAGCTCCGAAAGGTACTGTTCAAAATGGATAGTCTGAATTATTTAGTAAATAGCCCCACTTTGTAATATATTGACATTAATAGTTGGGGGAGGAGGCTTAAGAGAGATGGGGAAGGTGTAAAGTAAGACCAAATGAGCTTTACTTCATTCAAGCACTTAGATTCATTGTTCACCAGTTTGGGCTCTGCAGAGAAGTTAAAGTGTGTGTGTGTGTGTGTGTGTGTGTTTATTTATATATATATTTGGGACAATTTTGTCATAAAATAATTCTGAGATTAAAAAAAATTGCTTGGCAGCCTGATCTCCTTTCATTGTCAACAAGTCTCCCTTTAATCAAATTTAATTAAAACATACATGTGTGCATCTTCTGCCTGTTAAACAAAGTGGTCTTTTTTCTACTTCTTTAAAACTTTTTAATTAATCTAAATCTTTCAAAATCTTTAGATTTGTTATCACTTGTGGAATTAGAAAGAGAGATGGCCAGTTTAAAAAATGAATTGGATAAAGTGGTAGAAGAGAACACCGCTTTACGAAAGGAAGTAGATACATCATCAGAATTCAAATCTCTACCCAATAAAGTTGAGATTCTTCAGAAACAGGTAAAAATTCAAAGCTGATGTTACAAAGGCCTTATACCAACTCAACAGTATCTGTCTTTAATTGGGCAACTTTTGTCATGTATGTAGTCCATGATCTGGAGGGAGAACAGGTAGGTGGGAGAAATGGGGCATACAGATTCCCCTAGGGGAGTAGCTTTGAGGAAGGAAGGGGCACTAAGCAAATTACATAGCTTATTTCAAGGTAACTTTGAAATTTAATTTTGAAGTAAACCACTATTCTGAAATGTCACTTAACTCTCATGAAACAAGGGTTACAAGGACTCCAGAATAACATGCCTGTTATTTCGAAATAACAGGTTGCTTTAAAGGCGTGTAATAGTTACTTTGGGATACTTCCGGTATCCTGAGATAGCTCTGCAGTGTAGATATACCTTAAGTGATCTGCAAATATTTTAAAAATATTAAGGATTCACTGGCTGCCCTAGGATATGCACTAGAGATGCACATGTATGTGTAATATGAATGACATTTTCTAGGGAGACTCTTAAACTTAAGACATACTGTACTTTAAGACTTACTTACTTTATATTGAATTGTTATATTAGAAGGTTACTTGGCTATCCAGTCATGCTCTCAAAAGTAGCTCAAATTTTGATTAGAACAAAGATAAAACAACCAAATAACTTGTAGGTTTTTCAAATTTATTTAATGTTTATATTTCAAAACTTAAAAGTGAAGAAATCCATTTTTTCCCAACTTCCAAAACACATTTTAGTGACTTGTTAGTAATTCATAAAACAACTGCACTGCCTAATCTGATTTAGAGGTCAGCTGGGATTTGGAGATTTGGTTTAGTGCCCCAAATTTTAGACTGGCCATTCATGGCCTTTGAATAGGTTTCTACTATCATAGATGGGAATGAAATAATTAATTTTTGAAGTTTAAAGCAAAGTCCTGGGCTGGTTTCATTTGCTTAACCTTCCTTTCATTATAGCTTAAGGCACAGCTACTCAAGTTTGGAAGCCCCGGAGGGCCACAATGATACTCCCAGCACATGCTGAGGGCCGCAACTTAAGTGTGGTTGCTTATACGTGCAAATAGCTTCTTTCACATTGACAGGCATGAATACAAAGATTAAGTCTTAAGATACAGTGCCAGACCCAAATGTGGCCAGCGTGAGCCAGTCAGCACCTCTCAGGCTCTGTCCACAAGGCTAAGCAGCCATCACTTTCCACAATGCCCTGGTGCTCCTGGCCTTTCTGGGAGCTATAAATGCCAGCGCCCTGTACTCATCTGTTCCAGCCAGCCTGTCTGCTTGCGTTTTTCAGTGCTCACCACATTTGTGAAACTCCTAGCTGTTGTGGAGAGTGTTTACAATGGATGCCATGCCCAAAGGATCCCATCCATGAGCTTTATGTTGAGCCTTGCATAAACCAAACCGCACCACAGGCTGCAAACAAACAGGATGCATGTTGAGTAGTCCTTGCTTAAGGAATTTTACATGGCCTTTATTAATGACTTTTTTATCTTCAAATACTTAACTAAAATTACATCCCAAAATATGCACTTAAAATATCCAAGATAAATTTCATCTGCAGAATTTTAATCACAAAATCCCTTCCCAAAAATGCTTCAAAGGGTAAGAACAGTGATTTACCAAAGTCTTCCATATTGGAGAATAATAATATGTTGTTGTACATATAAAATCTGTTTCATGCAGATCTCTTTAAAGAATATCAGCCTAGATTTTTGAGACGACCTGTCTTAAAGAGAGAGATGTCAGCCAGCCCAAGGAATTTATAAGGGTTCAGAGACGGGAGAACGAAGCAGGTCTTTGTAGTTTGGTTTTTAAAGTCTTGGCTGTTGCCTGGGCAAAATGTAGCTTCATAGCCACTTACTGATTTGATAAAGCTTTCATCAGCCTATTTTCATTTCTTGTCTTTGCATATGGGGAGCTAGCTATTGTAGCGCATATACTAATATTCCAGTTCACTTGGCAGATATTTGAGAAATCAGAGGAGCTATTTTTATTAACATCAGAGAGAGAGAAACTACTCTTTGAAGTGGCTGATAAGGATACTAGACTTCAAGGCATGTCAGAAGAAATTGGAAAATCAAAAGAAGACTTGGCAAGTACTCAACTGAAGTATGAAAAGGCTGATCAGGAGTATCTACAGCTCAAATACCAGTATGAAGAACTTGAGCAAAAGTGGTTGGCTGCATCTGAAGAAAGTGAGCAAATGAAACACCAAGTGGAACACCTATCTGATGAAGCCCAAAAGCTTAAAACAGTTGTGGACAATGTGAGACTAGAGGTTGGTGCCTTCCACTTTTTGTAGGGAATATTCACTACAACTTGCTCATAGTGGAGGCCTCCTTGAGAAACTCTTAATCTGAGACAGAAGATTATGTAATAATTGTGTATTTCACAAAGGCCATTTACTGCACCTTACCTGCTGGTATTGTGGCTATTTTTGTAAGCTAAAATTGCATAAAATGGATGTATTAATCTGAGAAATATTTTCTTTGCTGAAGTCCTACCATGTAATATATTATGATTGATAGATTTTTTTTTTCTTTTGGTTACCTAAGAACGACTTAGTGTTTAGGAGAAAAATACTTATGCAGATGGTTTTGGTTTTTTGTTTTTAAATGGATCACCAAGCTTCAATAGCTTTCTTCCTTCCAAAACACATTTTGCAGGTATCTGGGAAGTAGAGGAAAACTTTACCTTTCCTAACCTTCACATTTGGCTTTAAATTGCATGAAAGGCAGAAAATGAACTTGATAAAGTCTACTACTTTACAGAAGTCCTCACTAACTTTCTATACATACAATTTTTCAGGCGTGTGAACCAAGCAGGATTAGCCTTTGGAGCTGATAGGCTAGTTTATCTAAATAAGGTCATGAATAGATAAGTGTGAAATAGTGCATACTGTAAATCTTCTGGCACCGAATGTAATCCAGGAACTAGAATGGAGAAGGTGCAATTCTCAGTTAATGAAAGTTAGTTTTATTTTAAAAGGCAAACAAAGGTTTGTGGGGAAAATGTTTGAACACAGTATTTGACTTTCCATTGTAACCTCTAATCTGCTTGGACTTTATTACAAACTAAAGCTCTCCATTAAGATGCAAGAATTGCAAGAAAAGAGTGCTGAGCTAGAACAACTTCTTGGTGTGAAAGAAGAGCTCATGCAAACTCAGGAGAAGTTGGGTGAAATGGAGCAATTGCAAGAGAAATCAAAAATGAATGAATCTACAATGGAGGCTGAAAGGATGGAGAAACTGGCAATTGCTCAGAAACTTCATGAAAGTCAAGAAGAAGTCAAAATTCTAATCCAGGAAAGAGAGGACCTAAAGAAAAAACAAGAAACTCTTCAAAGTGAGAGAGACCAACTTAAGGAAGATATACAGGAGACAATTACAATGGTAAGAGACTGGTATTGATCAAAATGCAGAATTGTGTGGTATTGGGTGGGGAATGCTATAGAAATACATAGAAATATTATTGAAAATTAAGGAATGGTGAAGGATGAAGCTGGAGAAGAAACATGTAATATCTCTCCCCTTAGAATAGTTACTGATGTGACATGAGTTCATTTTGAAATGTATAATTCTCCTCTTGTACTAAAGAACATCCTGGCACAGGAAGAACTAAGAAATGCACAAAACTCTCTCTGTCAGCACCAGAAGACTGTTGAGGAGTTGGAGAAAGATATTTCAGAGAAAAGATCTGAGATTGTGAATCTTCAAGATACTCTAGGAGAAACTATTGGTGAGCTGAAGCTCAAGGTAAGATGTCAAATCAAATTTTAAAATAAGTGTCCGTTAATATCTTGATTTAAAATGTTTTTTGTGGAAATAAAATACAGGACTATGTAGCACTTTAAAGACTAACAAGATGGTTTATTAGATGATGAGCTTTCGTGGGCCAGACTCACTTCCGAAAGCTCATCATCTAATAAACCATCTTGTTAGTCTTTAAAGTGCTACATAGTCCTGTATTTTGTTTCAGCTACACCAGACTAACACGGCTACATCTCTATCACTTTTGTGGAAATAGGCAGTGTGGGCCTATCTTGCATGATTTTCTAAGTTCAACCATCATACTGGAAACCTTCTAGTCAATAACTTACATCAGTGGTCTCCAACCTTTTTACACCCAAGATCACTTTTTAAATGACAGACCAAGCCAAGATCTACCACCCTGCCCCTTCATTGAAGCCCCGCCCCCTCTCTGCTCCTCCTCTCCATCACTTGCTATCCCCAATCCTTATACTGCTACTTTAAAAAAAAAATTCCCACCATTTCTCGCAGCTACTCACCTGTGCTATTGCTTGGTGTGTAGCTGCTCCTCAAATGAGGAAATTTAATATAAATGTACTGTGCAGGTGTGCAGTTCAGAGAGGGCTCAAGAGCTACTCTTAGAGCCTCCGAGATCTACCGGTAGATCGCGACCTACTGGTTGGTGACCATGGACTTACATCAATGGTCACCAACAGATTGATCGCAGTGCCCCCAGGGGTCAATCGTCACTGCCAGCTGACTGGACAGCTGTCCCTCTTTGCTCCAGGCCAGCTGGAGCGCAGCACAGCCTCAGTGGGTTGAACACCATGGCTAGCTGGGCTGGAGCAAACAGGGGTAGCCAGTTGGCCAAGGTGCTGAGCTCACCAAGGCTGTGCTATGCTGAATCAATGAGGGACAGCCACTTGGCCAGCTGGCTGTGTGACTGCTGGCTGGGTGGATGCCCTTCTTTGATCCGGCCCACAAGGCTGCACCATGCTCCAGCTGGGCTGGATTAAAAGGGGCAGCCACCTGGGCGGCTGTCCCTCTTTTTTGTTAATTTGCTGGCTGGGATGGGGGAAGAGGCACACGTGAAAGAGCGAGGATGCATGCGTGTTTGCCTCCTGCTCCGGGAGGGGACTCAGCGGCTAGCACGCTGGGGGCGTTGAGGCTGGGCTGTGTGCAGGTTCGGGGAGTTCCTTCCCTAGTGCCCTGCTGTGCCTGGCCCGACAAAAGCCAGCCCTAGGTGGCCCCGGGCTCTGCCTGCAGGCAAAGGTCTGGGCCAGGTAGGAAAAAGACTGCCCCCTTCCACTCCTTACCTAGCACTGAGGGGCATGGAGTGATGCAGTGGATCAGGCTGGGGGGAATCATGGGACTGAGGGGAGTGAGGCTGGAGCCAGAGGGAAGATGTGAAGGGAGGAGAGGTACAACTTTACTTTGCAGAAGCTGCACTTGCCTTTACTCGCCATTTCTTTGCCTCCTTCCCCACCTAGCAATTTAGATGCATTCTCACCTTTTCTACATTACTGCCCTAATCCCTTCCTGTCCCCAAACTCCCTCTCATATCCGTACCCCACATCCTCTCCTGCCGCTAAACTCCCTTCCAGACCCTGCACCCCACCTCCCACCCAGATCCTAAATTCCTATCCTACTTGTTGTCATCCCTGTGTCCCACACATTAAACCCCACATTTTTGTTCCTACCTCAGAATCTAAGGGTCCACTAACTCTGGAACCCCAGAAAAGTAAATCCAGCCTATGGGAAGCCATGAACCTCAGTCTTCCCTTCCCTTCGCCTTGGCGGGGCTAGAGTGCCAAAAGAGTGAGGTGTGTCAGTTGGGAGTCACATCAGTGAGTGTCAGGGTTTGGGGAGGAGGTGTGTGGTTTTTTTTTTTTTTTTTTTTTTTTTTTTTTTTTTTTTCCTCCAATCCCAAAAAAGGTTCCCCACACCTGCCATAAATAAAGAGAACATTTGAAACCTTTTGTGCTGGACATAATGTTTTACTTTATTTAAAATGAAGTTTGATCAATTAACATGAAAAAGCTTAAACAGATTAAGCATTTTAAAACTTAAATTAAACAAGTCTCCCTAGCTGCAGTGCTAACAAAATGGCGTGGGTGTAATTAACAGTGAGTTTCCATTAGCCACTGGTAGGTGGCAGAAAGGTTTGGAGAGGACAGGGCCTCGAGAAAGGGGTGGGGCTTTGGGGAAGGGATGGGGAAAATGCTTGCCCTGACATTTAAAAGTGATCTTGGGTGTAAAATGGTTGGACACCACTGACTTAGGTCAAGAAGAGAAACTTCCTCTCAGACAGGACTGGCCAAAATATGGCCCATGGACCAGATCCAGATCATGGGAGCCTCAAGGAGCTCCTTCCCTGTCCTACCTCGGCACTAAGAAAAGCCAGCTGTAGTGCTCTGTAAACACTGAAAGGATGGGGATAGGGGTGAGAGACTTCTCACATGGGGGAAATAAAATTTTGCTGTTCCCATTGGCCAGTTACAGCCAATAAGAGCTGCCTGTCTTGCAGACAGGCAGCATATGAAGTACCACCACTACCGTCCTGCTCAGTGTTCCATTCAGAGCAGTACTCATGGTCTCTGCAGCAGTGAACCTGGCTAAAGAATCTGCTGTGTTGGTGGCCAGGAGCAGTCCACATAAATGCCTCCTGGCCAAAGCCTGCCTCTGGCACCCCACCCCTTCCCTCTTCTATGCCCCCTTCTCCCCAACCCTCTGCTCCCCCACTACTGCACCCAGAACTCTTCTCAGAACCACACCTGCTCCTGCACCTCTTCTCCAGGTCGCAACCCTTTCCCAGACCTTGCACCAGGGTTCCCCCCCTAAGGTGCACACTTGTGCAGCTTCGCACAAAAAAAATCAATCTGCCTGCCTCCTTCCAGAGCCATGCAGCAGCACTCCTCTTCCTGCTGGACCTGGAAGGTGAGTGGCGTGGCTGCTCTCATGGCTGGGGCCACGTGGCAGGAGGTTGGGGCTATGGCCACACATTAGGCAGTTGCATAGCTGGGGCCGGAGCTGCTTGAGGAACGGCTGCTCCACTCCAGTGGGCGAGGGCTAGGGCCGCATGTACTAAAAAGAATTAGCTATGATTTCATAGGAAGTACTATGGCACAAATGCCAAGCACCTTTAGCAATCGGCCATCAGGGTCTAATGCAAGCCCATAAGAACATGAGTGAGACTTTTAGGGGACATGACTCCTAGAAAATATACAGCATAGACTATCACTAGAAAAGAAATGTAAACTGAATTCTGCCTTCTTTCGGTTCTTTGTTTCCAAACCTCTCCTTGTTTTTTTTCCTAAAACTACTTCAAATGGCAGAGGAATCTCAAATCCATCACCTGTTGACACACTAATGTTGAAGACAACATATTTTCTTGCCCACTCAGTGAAACAGAAAATAAGTATGACACAACTTGTAGGATAATCTAATGGTTCTCTATCAGGGATATATGTATCCCTGGGGGTAAGCAGAGGTCTTCCTAAGGGAAGATCAAGTCAATTTGTGCTACGCAAATTGCTAGCTTATTTCAAGGTAATTTTGAAATTGTCTACACAGCCCCAAACTTCAAAATAAAGCACTATTCTGAAATGTCCCTTAAACCTCGAGGAATGAGGTTTACAGGGACATCAGAATAGCGAGGCCGTTATATTTTGAAATAGCTATTTTGGTATACTTCTGGTATCCTGAAATAGCTCCACACTGTAGACCTAGCCCCAGCCCCAGATACTTGTCTAGTTTTATAATAGGCTACATGAAAAGCATAAGAAAAACGTAAGTGAAGTCAGTACAAACTACAATTTCATACAATGACTTGTTACTGGTCTATATACCAACTGTTAATTGCTGTAAGTTGCCTTATAATAGCAGCTGGACTTGCTTCTGGCAAGATGGAAAATGCAGAAGGCACAAAGGGGGCTTAGAGTGAAAGAT